TTAAGTTTAATTTTACTATTTAAGTTTAGCTACTTTATTGAATTTAATTATAATAATAATTATTATTTTATATATTTTGAAATATTTTAATTATTTATTTATTAAATATAAAACATAATTTTTATATTAAATAAATTTCTAATGAAAATATGAATTATATTATGTTTACCATTAAAAAATATCATAGTTTATTTGATTTTAATCTAAAATAGTATAAATAAATATTTCTAAGCAATTAATTAAAAAATGTATATAATATTTAAACACATAAAATAAAAAAATATTTTTATTTATTAATGTATATTTTAAAAAATAAATAAATTAAATTACAAATGAATTAGAAAATAAGATTTATATATACTCTATTTTAAAATGTCCAATTTAATTCTCGCAGTATAAAAATAGAAAAAGTAAATAGTAATAATTTTTAATTTCAAATATAATAAAACTTTATTATTATTAAATATATATTTTGTATTTCAAATATTTGTTCATTATTTTTTTTTGATTTAATCAAAAAAAAAGTCTAATAATAAATATTGGCCTTTTTTTGGTTCAATTTAAAATATAATATTAAGAAATAATAAAATATAAATAGTATATATATTATTTTAATTTTATATAGTTTACAAAATATTTTTTTATATTATATTAATTTTAAAAATTTATTTTAGTATTATTTATTTTTTAAACAAAAAAATTAATTATAAAATTAAAATTATAATTTATATTTTTTTTAAAATTATTTATTTTTTATATAAATATTTTTATAATCTTAATAATTTTTTTCAATATAATTAATATATTTTTGATTATTAAATTTATAATAAGTTAATTTATATATACTTGGAAACATAAAAGTTTTTTATATTCTTGTCTTTTTGTCAACTTATAAGTTGAAAATAAAATTACTTTAATTTGTATATATTTAAATTTTTTTTTGAAATAAATAAAAAATATTATTATTTTAACCAATACGGATTATCTTATTTATTTTATTATTATATAAATAATTTTGTTTTTAAATTAATTAAAAATCTATATGAAATTAGAAATTTTATACAATTAATATCTCATAAATTATCCAATTATACGATTAAAAAATTTAATTATAAATAAAAAAAAATTACTATTTTTATTTCGATAAAAATTTAAATTATAATTTTAATATATATAATTATGTTAATTTGATTTTATTGATATATTTTTTTTGAATAGAATAATTTTAAATTAATAATAAAAAATAAAAATAAAATTAAAGGAAGAATAAATAAAAAAATTGAATAGCAAAAATTAAATCAATTTAATCAATGCTTTCTTTATTAAAAAATTAATTAAAAGGCAAAAACATTATGTATTTTACAGTAACATTAGTTTTTTTAATAGAATATATTATAATTTACATCATTTAAACTTTTGAACGAGAAATATACTATAAAGTATTATATTTGTTACCTTTTTTAAACTATTTATGTATTATATATATTTTAAGTTTCTTAATAAAATAAATAGAAAATTTAACTTTTTAAAAATTAATTCATTAAAACTTATACAAAAAAGCCATTTTATTTGATAGAAATATGAATATTAAATTACTTATTTAAAATAAAAAATATTTGAAAATACAATATAACTAAATGAAATATAAAATTAAATTAAATAAATTAAAATTTATTAAATATTTTAAATTATTGAAAATTAACATAAGATTTCTATTGATAAAAAATTAAATTAAAGCGAAAAAAAGAAAATTAAACAAATTCAGTAAAATCCATAGTAATCTATTTATTATTTAATAGAATAATAGTTTAATTAAAATAAGTAGCAACAAAATTAAAAAAATAAATAAATTTAATAAACTCATTGTTTATATGTAAACCATTTAAATAAAGATTATAAAGTTTTACTTTTTTAAATATATAAAAATAATGAGTTAATGCAATTAATAATTTTTAAAACTATTAGAAGGTCAGATTTAAATATGAAAGTTATTTAAGGATTTTAACATGAATTAATAACACCTTTAAATTGTTCTATTAATATGATTTAGTTAATGAAAGAACATTTACAAAGTAAAGATTTAACTTAAGAAATAAAATAATTTCTGAATCCAATTTTATATTCAAATAATATTTTATTAAGTGTTATTAATGATTTTATTGATTATCAACTTATCTAAAATTCAAAATTAAATTTAAACATAGAATAAATTGATTTAAATAAAATTTTACAATAAACTACACTTTTGATTTCAATCTAAGCCTAGTTAAAAAAAATATCCCTAAAAATGATTTTTAATTGCCCTAATTATAAATAAGAAATATAATTTTTAGAAGATGGTTAACTTTTATATGTAAAAAAACAATTCCAATATATTTAATAAGATTTAAATTCAAATGATTAAGAATTTTATATATATTCAGACTAAGGAAGAGTATAATAAATAATATTAAATTTACTTACAAATGCTCTTAAATATACAGAAAAAGGAGAAATAATACTAACTATAACAAAAATCTAAGAAAACCCAAAATTAATAAAGATAGAATGTTAAGATACTGGTAGAGGTATAGAAGAATATAAATTTAGTTCGATTTTTAATATGGATAACTAATTAAATATTCAAAGCAGATCTTTTAATAAATAAACAAATTTTGGAATGGGATTAACAGTAAGCAATCAAATAGCATGCGAATTATGTGTATATGAATAGTAAAACTAAGCAATAAAAGTAATATCTGAAGTTGGAAAAGGTTCCACATTTTATATGACATTAATCGATTTATAAGATAAAAATTATTAAAATAATATTTAAGTAATGTAATAAAATAATAATAATAACTAAAATATAAATAAAAACATTAATAACATTTAAATATAAGATTCTTAATTTTTATAAATAAGTAATGGTTCTTCAATAAAAATATAAATCCCTAAATAAACGCCTGAAAGTAATACTAAAATAGAGATTGAAAAAAATTATAAAATCAATAAACATATCTAAAATAATAATAAGCCCTATTTTTTAAATAATCTTCAAATAAATACTCAATTAAAGTAAAAGCCCGATTTTTAATAATTAAAAGCATAAAAAAGTATTTTATAAAATAAAAATAATTTGTAAATGAAGAGTACTTAAAACAGTAGCTAAAATTGTAATCATTCATAAATTTTAATTGTTGATGATAATTTATTTAATATTTTTGTTCTTAAAAAAACTCTTTAATAATATGGTTTTAATTCTAATAGTGCTTCTGATGGTTTAGAAGCCTTAAAAGCTGTAAAAAACAGAATTGAATGTAAAAATTGTTGTCCGTATTATAAAATGATTATTATGGATATATAAATGCCTGTAATGGATGGATACGAATCAACTTAAAAAATCATTGGCTTATTAAAAAAAAATGAAATACCTATTTAGAGTTGCCCAATTATTGGATTTTCTGCTTATAGTACTGAATAAGATAAATAAAGAGCTATTGAAAATGGGATGATTGATTATATTACTAAACCTTTAATACAAAAAGATTTAAACAAAATTTTAGAAAGATGGATATGAATAATAATTAATAATATTATAAATACATACATATATTAATAAAATTATAAAAAATATAATATATTTTATATTTTTTTTGATAAAAAATCTAATTTATTTATTTAAAAATCAAAATAATTTTATTTACTCTACATTTTATTTTTAAATAAATTAATTTTTTAATATTTATAAAATATAAAAATTAATTAATTATAATAATAATATTTTAAATTAATAATAATCTAACATTAATTAAAAAAAATGAAATAAAATGATAACTTTTTTCATATATAAGGCTAATAAATTAAAGCTAAAATAAATGAATAAATAAATTAGTAATTTTTTAAATTAGATTTAATTGACATTTAATAAAATGAAGATTAATTTTTAAACGAAATAAAATAATAAATAGAAACCATTAAAATTTTTACTGATTAATAATATTTCAAATATGAAAATACTAAAGAACAAGTTACTAATTATTATTTATGTAAATAATAAATAACAAATTTTAAAAGTTTTTATGAACAAATGAATGTTAAAACGAGTGAAGAATGCATTCAAAAACTTTATAACTTTCTTTATTTTTAAGACATTTTATTTAGAAAGATTGAGTAAATATCAAAAGTAAATCACCTAAAATGCGTAGAATTATTAAAAAAAGAAGGTTTGGAGAATGAATTCTCATGCCAAATTATAATGAATAAAAAAATGAAAATTTTTTTTGATAAATTTGGTGAAATCATTTAAGAAATTAACAAGGGAAATAAAAAAGATTTAATTGATATAAATTTTAATTAAGAAATTCAAGAATTAAATTAAAAAAAATAATTTTTAGATTTATAAATATCATATTTATAGTCTGAAATTAATAATTCTAAAGAATAATAAGAAAACCTTAATAATTAATTAAATTGCAAATGTATTGAAATTTCTTAAATTGAAAAAGATAATCAATATTTGAAATTACAAGTTTAATAATTAAAATAAGAGATTTCAAAAATTAATATAAATTTTGATTAAAAAGAAAAAGAAATAGAAAAAAATCATTTTATTTAAATTGAATAAATGGAAAAAGATATCACGGAAACAATAAAAAATTAAATTTAAGTAAAAGTTTAATAAATAACGCAATAAATGATGAATTAAGAATAAGAAATTAGATAATTAAAGTAATTATATAGATAATAAACGTTTTCTAATTGAAAAATATCTATATTCAAATAAATAATAAGTTATAAAAATCTTATTGAATAAATAAAATATAATTTATTATTTTTTAATAAATAAAAATTATTTTATAATATTATATTATTATTTTTTTGAAAATTATAAATAATTTAATTTTTAAATTAATTTATTTATTGTGAAAATTCAAAGCCTAATTTTATATTAAACAAAAAACGTTTTGATTATATTTATTAAGAACCCTCTCATGAAATTTTAATAATAATTTATTGACAAAAAAATCATAAAATGATATATATTTTACTAAAATTAAATAATAAAAGTGAATAGTCGAACTTATTTAATATGAATATTTTTTAATTAGTTAAAATCTGATTTCTATAAGAAAAGTGGATAATGTCATTTTTTATAAACGAAAAACAAAAGAATGTAGGTAGTTATTTCAAATTTTAAGGTATTAATCCTTTTTTAAAAAAAATCAAACATAAAATTTTTATATAATTAAATAATTTTATTTTTTCAATCATTTATTTTAATTTGAATTTTTAACTCAATTTTATTAATTAAAATTGTTTTCGAAGTTCTTTTGAGTATCTTGATTTTTTTAAACATAAATTTATTTCTGTTTTATATTTCTATTCTAATTAAGATTCTTTTTTTAATTAATATTAAATATATATTTGCTTTATAAAAAATAAATACTTTATTTTAACTAATTTTCTATTCGTCATCATTATTTTATTTTTTAGTCTAAAATAATTATTAATTAATATAAAATTAAATAAAAAAAATATTTACAGGAACTTAAATCCATTCATTATCTTAATTATCCTTTTTTTTATAATTTTATTAATTTAAATTTTATGGCTAATGATTATTGTTGGTTTAATTTCCTTACTTTTCTTCATAAATCTATATATTAAATTTAAATTTATTTTTTAATAAAATAATATATCCATTAAAAATAAAAAAATACAATTTCATTATCCTTTTTTTCTTCATATTTTTAGTACTTATCATTTCTTTAATTTCCACCTTAATAGTTATTTCCTAATTATTCGTTTCTATTACTTTTTTTTTTTTAATCTCTACTATTTGTATTATTGTTATAATTTTTGTTAAAGTTATTATTTCCTCTATAATTATCATTATTGTTTTGATAATAATTATCTCTTTATCTAAATTATTTATTTTATTCATTATCTCTATTTTAATTAATTTCAAAATTTTATTTTTATTAAACTTGTATATTTTATTTTTATTAAATTTCTGGATTTTATTTTTATTAATTTTCGGTGTTTTATTTTTATTAATTTTCGGTGTTTTATTTTTATTAATTATCTATATATTATTTTTATTGCATTTCTGAATTTTATCTTTATTAATTTTTGAAATTTTATTTTTATTAGTTTTATTCATTTTATTATTAATAAACTACTTGATTTTGTGTATTAGACACTTAATTCTAAATATCATTTATCTATAAACTTTGGTTATTGGTATTTTCTTAAAATTTATTTCTATATCCTCCTCTATTTTATTATTAATTATAGTTCTTATTATTACTGTTTTTGTTTTTATTCAATTATTAATTATAATGTTCTTAATTTTAATTATTACTTTACTTACCTTAATAGATATCATTTTTTTTTTATAGATTATTTTTTGGCTATTATCTTTTAGTTAAGATTCTTATTAAATTTAATTATTTTAATTTTTTTATACTAATTAACAATTATTTTATTAATCTTAAATTAATTATTATTAGTTGTTATTATTTGATAATTAAATATTACTGGATTATTCTTGAGTTTTTTTTAATACATCTTGCTTTTATTATAATTCAATAAATTTAGCATTTCCATCAACTCCGAATAAGATAGGAGATTTAATTTCAGAATGTTCATTATTTTAGACATTAGAATCTTTTTTTTTATTAATAAAACCCATAGGCTTATATTATTAATTGTTATCAAAATTATTATTATTATTATTATTATTATTATTATTATTATTATTATTATGTTTATTATTATTATTAATCTTCATATTAACTTTAGTTATTATTTTATTATTATCATATTTTTATTGTTATTTATAGTTTATTTATTAAAAATCATCATTATTTTATTTATATTGTTTTCTATCTCTTTAATTTTACATATTATTACCTTGAAAATTGTTACCCTAATAATTTATATTTTAAAAACTTTTATAATTATTGTAGTTTGTCTTTGATACTCTATTATTATTTTCTTCAAAATTTTTATTATTATGTTTTTAAGGTGCTCCTAAATTCACTTTTATATTTTTATCGTTAATCTTCTAAATATATATAAAAATTAAATGTATGTTATATAAATTTATTTTTTTATTTATAAATATATTTTTTTTACATATTTTTAATGATTTTATATAAAATTTATTGCATCTTCTTTATTCGGAAACTTCAAATCAATATGACCATTTTTTTTTTAAACTGTTGTTTCATATTTAAATTCTTCTTATTAAAATTAAGATCTAAACTCTTCTATACTTCCGTTAACTTAAAAACAATGAATATAATAATTTTTAAAATTTTATTTATTCAATTCTTAGATTATTTGTTCAGCTAATATTAAATAGAAATTATAAATTATTAAATTAATTTTTATTACGAGTAAATAATGGATATTAATGTTTAGGATTTTAAATAATTTTATTTTAATACTTATTATTTTTATTATACACAGAATATGGTTTAGATTATTTATCTTCAGATGGTTATAGTTTATATTCAACCACATAATTTTAATTTTATTGATTTAATTAATCTTACTAAGGACTTTGCCTTTTAGGGGAAGCATTATCTTCACTATTATCATCTTAAATATCAGCCCAATCTTTTATTTATAAATAAAAAATTATGATATTTAAAATTTTTAAATAAATATTGATTAATTAAGTAAATTATTTATAATATTTATAAGTTTTTAATATATAATAATTGTAAGTTAACTTTTTTTTTTTATAGATTCAGCCATTTTTTTAAATTTTATTTATAATTTTTTTTATTTATAAATATTTATAATTTATAAAGAAATTTTATTGAATTAAAAGAATATCTTATTAAAATTATATTTCTTTTGTACCAAATTAAAAATATATTTTGTCTCTTGATTTACTAAAATTTATATTAATTAAATTTTTTCTATTTTAAATAAATATAAAAAAATTTAAAATATTATTTTTTTTATAATATTTTAATATAATTATATGTGTTAAAAAATTTAAATTTAAAATAAATATAATATATAAGTTGTATTACTAAAAAAATAAATAAATAATGTAATGAAATATAAATTAACTTTAAATTAAACTTAGTTTAATATAAAAAAAATAGTAAAAAAAAAAAATGTAAAATATTATTTGATCTAATGCTTTTTTATTTTTAATGCGTATGATATTTTAAATTCAAAAAACATAAAAAATAGGAGAAAAAATGATTAGCGGTTTTTTTTTATTGTTATATTTCCATAAAAAAACAGAAAAAATAAAAATATTTAAGAAAAATAATATTTAAAATATTAAAAAATTATGGTAAATTTGAAAATATATGTTATTTAAGTAAAATATTATATAATTATATTATGAAATATAAAAAAAATTATATACAAATAGTAATATGTTTAAAATATATAATATATAAAAATAAAAATAATTATTTATTAATATTAATTTAATTTAATTTAATTTAATTTAATAAATTAAATTAAATTAAATTAAATTAATAGAAAACAAAAAATAAAAAACTGAATCTTGATTTAAATAATAAAATTACTTTATATATTGTA